CTGCTCTGAAATGCCCTGATTTTTTCATTTGCTTTCAACATCACAGGTTGATCCCTGGTAGAGCCTCACTTGGCAAAGTCATTACGACTCAGCCAAGCATTCTGTCACCATCCCAAAGTTTTTCCCTCTAGCTGTACATGGTATTTCTTCTCTATTCTTTTATGGCTTCTTATGAGAGAAATGTGCTTTTGCAAACGGTTTCTTTTCAAGGCCCTTGTGAGGCCACGTCCCTTGAAGCCAATGCATTTCTGATGACTGGGCTTTCAGCACAGAAGTGGAAAGATAATTTATCCAGGCTTGGCTTCAGGTACCTTAACACATGGCCAAGCCCCCAACACAAACAGCAGCCCTGTAGAACATTTGGCTCAAGTGATACACATCACCCACCACACTGGTTATGCACCCTCTCACTGTCCTGATCAAAAAATTGGGGTTTTGTTTTTTGTTTTTAATTTGCATGAGGCCACTAGATCACTGAAGGCTTTGTGATATCAGTCTACTGGGAATGTTTTCTTTAGTAGCACAAGCCAAAAAGAAACCCAGAGCTTGATGTGGAAAGCTTTAAAAATACATATCTCTGTGCTGTCAGCACCCTGCACCTCAAAAGCAGGCTGCAGCAGCTGTCTGCTGGGGGATAAGCAGGCACAGGTAGGTCTGGAGGTGAGTCCCAAGCACCTGGCACTACCCTGCAGTCTGGAAAATGTTCTTAACAAGCAGGACTGCTCATTACCACACTGATGAATTGGTGTTTGCTAACAAAAGGCCCTTTCTCAAGGAATTCCTCATCAGCCCTAGGTGTGCCATAAGTGATTCAGGCTCTCATTAGCCTTAATTAGATAATTGTTAGAATGATTTCTCTGTTATTCATGCAGCCTGTACCACTGAGCACCAGCCCATCAATAGACTGACAGGTGTTCCCTGCAAAGAAATGGTGTTTTTTTTTCCAGGGTGAAATGATCCTGCAGGGATCACTGTGCCCATCACAACCCTCCAGGGTCTTATCCAGCTGTTGCAGCCCCTTGGGCTGTTCTTACATAAAGCCCCACAATTCACCACTGCAGCACTGCAGAGGTTTTCAGCAATTTTTTTTTTTTTTCACTACATCTTTCCCCCCAAAATTTGGTAATTCTTCAGCTTTCTCCTCCAGCCATGTCCCAAGTTGCTTTGCCATCTCAGGAGGGTCTGTGCTCCATCCAAGATGAGACTTAGTTCCCTTCCAATCCATAAGAAGAAAGCAAGGAGGAATCATAAAAAGGGGCAAATTTTTTTTGCCCCAGAACTTCAATGCCGTACTTGATGTCAGTTACAGATCTGTTGCAGATGGCTCAGTGATTTAAAAGCACTAGCCTGGGACTACAGATCCCATTCCCAAAATATTCAAGGTTGACCTTGGCAAAGTCTCTTAGGCTGGAACTTTTCTTGCCTGCAAACAGACCTCTAAAAGCTCAGCCACCAGGCTTCCTCTGCAGCCAGTGGAAAAAGAGAGGCAGAACACCCTTGGTTTTTTTCTTTTCCTTTTCCACAACTCAGCTAGGTATGTTAGGAAAAAGAGATACCCATCACTCTCTGGAGATATTAATTTCTCCCTACAGAGACGAATTGACTAAAAAATTCAAAAGGGGAGCAGGGTCTCATATGACGACATTGCCCTTAACCCCTGACAGTTAAATGATGTGAGCAAGACAATAATTTTTAAAATACACTGGTCCCTCATCTCCATTTCAGAGGGAATTGAGCTATGCAGCCTTGTAAGTACAGGGTTTAGGAGCTCTGAAGTCATACTTCTGCTTTGTAAAACCCCCAAGTAATTTTTTCTGGTGGGGTTTAAAATGAGCATAAGCTTTTCATATGCTGTGATGACTCAGACACAGCCCCTTGGCATTTATTCTCCCTGCTGGTAACAGCTGTACTGCTGAGCTCGTGGAGGTTACTGTCCACAGCAAAGGGAGCACTCACCTTTCTTTATTGATGCACCCCTAAAACTTCAAGACTGTAAGCCATATTCCCGTCTTCTTTACATGGATCCAGAGCAGCTCTCTGAGCCCATCTCAGCCCTTGAAATCCTTTGGAAAACACTTCAGGGAGAACATGAGCAAATAAACAAAGCAGACAAAATGGAATAGGATCACAAAAGCATAGAATTGTTTAAGTTGGAAAAGCACTCTAACATCATCAAGTCCAACAATAACCTAGCACTGCCAAGGCCACCACTAACCCATGTCCCCAGGTGCCACATTCACACAGCTTTTGATCACTTCTAGGGATGATGATTCCTCCACTGCCCTGGGCAGCCTGTTCCAGTGCTCACCAGAGAGTTATCTCTTTTACCAGATCAGTTGATAAATACGGCTGTGAACCTCTGTAGGGAAAGCAACCTCAGTGACAGCCAGGTGCTGTCCTGGTATTGCTCTGGAGTCTCTTCTCTGCTTGTGCTGCTGCCTTCAGACCCTGTGTCCCACCCAAAAATTACTGGGTGCCTCACTAGAGCTGCTCTGGGAATAGCAGGAACTTTCTGTTGGCAGCTGTGGGCTCAGATGCCCCGACTTCCACCTGAAGGCACCCAGAGCTACACCCAAGAAAATTATGCATCTTACAAAGTGCTCATGGGATGTAACCAGGCACAAATATTTTCCAGTAGAAGCTGGTCTCTTCCTACCTCAGAGGAATGTAAATTCCCAATACCTAACCACTGCAAATTCCCCCAGCCTAGAGGACACATGGGAAGAGAAGGGGAACTCCAGCTCAGTGTTCCCTACACCAATCTCTTCATGGCTAGCCACAAGGAGTAGCCAAAATTGGCAGCCACCAAGGATGCCCTAAACTGAAACCAGGAACTGGACTCAGCTTCTGGGCAGAATGAGATTACAGATCAGAAAACAAAACAGTTTAATAACACCACCCCTCTCTCTTCTTTTGCTCCTGGTTTGTTCCTGCACTGAGCACAGCTTTGCAGAACCTCAAAACCTCCCTCTTCTCAACCCCATGAAACATCCCTGGGCAAAGGCTGGAGCCCCTTTGCTCTGGAGCCAGCCTGGCCCAGCTGGGGCTGTTCCCCTGCACAAGAGAAGGCTCCAGGGACACCTCAGAGCCCCTGCCAGGGCCTCCAGGGGCTCCAGGAGAGCTGCACAGGGACTGGGGACAAGGCCTGCAGGGACAGCACACAGGCAATGGCTGCCACTGCCACAGGGCAGGCACAGATTTTGGCATCTTGGGCAGGAATTGCTGGCTGGCAGGGTGGGCAGGCCCTGGCACAGGGTGCCCAGAGCAGCTGTGGCTGCCCCTGGATCCCTGGCAGTGCCCAAGGCCAGGCTGGATGGGGCTTGGAGCAGCCTGGGACAGTGGAAGGTGTCCCTGCCCATGGCAGGGGGAGGAATGGGATGGGCTTTTAAGTTCCTTCCCACCTAAACCAATCCCTGATTATGTGAATCAAGGTTTGCAGCCATCTATTCTTTGCACAACCACCGGGTTTTTTTGCTTTTTTTTTTTTTTTTTTCAGACCACTTAACACCTTCTATAGTCCTCCCCCGCCAGGCTCATACAAACCGAGCAACGCTCAGGTTTTGTTAACACGGTTCCACACAACAGCCTCTCTTGCCGGTGCAGCCCTGCCCAGGCTGATGCCGATGGTGAAGGTCACCCCAAAAACTGCCGTGGGGAAGAGCTGCCGGCAGAGAGAGCCAGAGCACTGGGGAACAGGAGCCGTGCAACGCGTGTGCAGGGCTGCGCTCAGCCACGGGCTGTCAGGGCAAAGGGAAAGCAGATTTGGTTGCTCAAGGACCTTCTTCCGAGGGCGTTCAGAGCCACAGGTATCTTTGCCATCTTCCCGGCAGTGCTCTTCTCTGCAAAGCAGCCTTTCCTGCAGGCAAGCATCCCTCGCTGCTGCTGCTGCAGGCTGCCACGCTGACAGCCAGCCTCTCCGAGCCATCCCCAAACAGGCTCCCACCGGAAGATGGTGCCCATATTCCACAAAACAGGGGCAAGCCCTTCACAGCACAGTCCGCTTTGCGGCAACACCTAGAAGAAACACAGCCACACTACATCTAAAACACCAGAGCAAATCCCACAGCTGATGCCAGCCTCCCTCAGGCAGCAAGGATGCAATTTTGAGGGTGTGACCTGCAAGTGTAGCTCGCCAGGCTGCAGTGCAGTGTATTTGTGTATTTTCTTTCTTTAATGTTCATATGGTAATAGACTTTTTAATGAGCAAAGCTCCACAACCGTAATTGGAAAATTAATAAACCCCTACTCCTGCTGAATATTCACCTGCTAACTAAGGAGAACACAGCCCTGAGCCAATGCTCTTGTCCTTGTCAAAAACCACATGTGGATGCTGATTTCTGTGCAATGCTTTGATGCTGCCCCAGGTTGTTCTTGCTGGTCTATCAAAGGCAGATGTGAAATGAGGAGCATCATAGATTCCTGGTGATATACAAAAGCACCAACTCACATCAAAAAGGACACAGACTTCAGCCTCTCCTCTTGTATTTTCTTGTCCCCTACTCTCTGCTGCTGTACTGGAAATTGACATTGCTTGCCTCCAGCTCACTGATGGACAAATTTCAGCAAGCTCCCTTCTCAGCACCTGCCACAGTAGCTACACTCAGCCAAGCATGGTCAGCACACAGGTGCTGCTCAGTCTCTTGGCAGATGTCATTTCTCATGTCCAACCAGCAGCTTGTCACAGGCTGCGTCAGGAGCTGGAGTGAGGGTGGGATGCTGCAAGGCACCCATGCCACTTGTCTCTTTCCCCCTGCAGCTCTGTGTCTGTGCCCCAGCCCCATGACAGCAGCAGAGCACTGCCTGGTCCTCATCCCTGAGAGGAGACACCACCGCAGCACACCCAGCTGTGGATCCGGCAGATCTCTTCCCCACAGACATCCCATCTTTGATAAAAGACATCACCACTGGGTGCTGGAGGTTGTCAGACCCCAACCCAAAATGTTTTTCTAACACATTGCCTCTGTGATTTACAGTTACCCTTTATCATCAGCCCAAAGAGGATGGAACTCGGCGAGATCGTTGTGACTGAACATCCCAATGAGAGGCAGCTGTACAAGAAGGAGATGCCAAGAGCCCAGGACCTGCTGTGGAGAAGTGGAAACTGGATCCACCATAGTTTTGGGTATCTCACAGGAGAAATGAACGAATATGGAGAGTGGATGAAAAGTAAGCAGAAGGATGTGTTTGAGGATATCCATGCTGCCATCAGTATTTCCAGAGAAGTGTGTTTCACCCCCTAAGGCAGAGCAGAAGCAGCATGGTCCAAGCTCATGGCAAGCTCTGGCCTTTTAATTATCTCACTCTCAGGAAGACAATCTCACTGCATCCTCTGGCCATCACTATGGCAGCAGGCAAAATGCAGCACAGTTCTGAGATATCTTTCACACTTAATCAGTTACATGTCATTAGCATCACATCTCACATAGCAGTGCCAGACTCCCACAGCAGGGGTGGGGTTTGAGTCTCCTTTGTAACTGCTTTGGATCAGCCACTGTCTCTCATCCATCTGCAGGCTGATGATGGGGAATTGCCTCCTGATAGAGGCAGAGGCTCTTGATTTCCCAGCCTTGGGGGAGCAATAAACACTGAGAGGGTGTTCCAATGCCGTAAGATAGAAGCCAGGACTAATCTCAAAGCTTCACTGTCTAGACAGGAGCAATGCATGAGCAGACAATCCAAGATACCCATAATTACTGGGGATTGAGAGGCTGTGTAAGACTGTGAGTCCTCTGTCAAGGTTAGCGTTGTTAACAGTACACCTCCAGCAATGGGAGAGAAATAGGAGGCATCCATTTACAGCCAGGCCAGTGTTATCCCCAGACACAGGGGAGTATCTCCTCCTGCTTTCTCTTTACTCCAGTGCTCCATGCTTTGTCAACAACTTTTCTTACTCAGTGTTCTGGAAAGCTTTGGCCACTGTCCTCTGGTTATATTTGAATTTTTTCAGCTAATACTTGTAAAACTAAGTGTATTGCTGATACCTGTTGCATAGCTCAACACCAAATGCTAATTAAAATTAGTTCAGACAAGCTTGGTCATTTTCCTCTAGGGAGCCCCTTCCTCCTCCTCCTCCTCCTCCTCCTTGCTCCACCTCCTTAACCCTACCTGGAAGGAATTCTTAGGAATAAGCCATTGCCCATATTCAGAAAATACCCTGACACCTTAAGTTGCATCTAATGAACAATCAAATTAAGATTATTAACTTCAAATATTGAAGAAGATAAAAGCTGCATTGCACATTGTATGAGCATCTGAACATCTTGTACATGGAAGCAGCTCCCCTTTCCCATCCATTTCCTTGCATCATCCTTTAATAACACACAGCAGTTCAGAAATGGTTGCAGTTTTCCCACAAGAGAGGCAGAAGAAAAACTCAAGTCAATTTGCAGTAGGAGAACAAGCAGCAAAACATTATTGCAGTGCCTTCATCCCACCTTCCCCTGCACACACCTGAGGTATCTGTGCTTGGTGTCTGTTTACTCTGTCCACGTTCAATAACCTTCTCCAAAGAGCAATAACTCTTTGTCCTCTGGAAATGCCTCTTTGCCTTGAGTACTGTCCAAAATATAATTATTGCTTTCTAATTGAGATTCTTTAGCTCTCAAAATACTTTTTAGAAACCTTTGACCCCCATCTCCTATATACACCATACCTCCATGTTCAAGATTGCTGATTTCCTTCCTAAAACAGCAAAATCGCTTCCTTTTCATATTTCCCTATATACATACAAAGTATTTTCAGAGTCCCCCTCTGCATTTGAGTTATACACCAGAACAGTCTGTCTCCTTATTGAACTACAGCATAATCTAAAGTGATCTACCGTGCAAATAATCATTTGACTATTCTCTGACCACTATAAATAGATCACTTTTTTCTCTGTCCCTCCATAAATTTTATAGCAGTGCCCAGTACATCCCTATTAGTTCTCAAGTGCCAGATGCAAAATATGCAGAGACAGCAATCAATCAGAGACCTGTTTTACAGAACTGTTAATATTTCACCTCTGTTCTGTGCCCAGAAAGGGGCTGCAGAGATTGTGCTTGGCTAAAATTATGCCTTTTCAACAGTGTTTTGCCTTGATCTCTTCCAGACAAGCCCTTAATTGTTCAGCTGGTGGACTGGATCTTGCGAGGGACCTCTCAGGTGATGTTTGTCAACAACCCTCTCAGCGGGCTGATCATTTTAGTGGGGCTTTTCATCCAGAGCCCCTGGTGGATGCTCACGGGCTTCACCGGAACCACTGTGTCCACATTAACTGCACTGGCCCTCAGTCAGGACAGGTAGGTGGCACCTCGTGTCCTCACGCACTTAATAAAAATTGATAGTTGTGATATTATTTGGAGCTCACTGATGGGTCACTGCACCTTATTAGAGACAGAAGACTCAGGTGAAGACAGAGCTGTAGTCCAAGAAGAGCTGCCCTGCCCCTGTGGCTATCTGTCTTCTGAAAACATGCAGTTATTTCTACCTGATAGCCCTCCTCACAACCATCAAGGTCCTTTGAGTCACAAGGATCCCCCTCCATCATCCAGCAGTCCCCAAACTTTCCCCCTTCCACACACCAGTGCAAGGCAGTACATCAGTAATCCCACTGCTTTCTCACCCCCTCACCAGGGGCAGAACACTCACAAATTGCATTTCTGTGGGCCCCAGAGATAGGCTGCCTTCAGCAATGCTTTCTGTCTCACAATTGTTTCCATCGCAGGTCATCCATCGCAGCTGGCCTGCACGGCTACAACGGGATCCTGGTGGGCCTGCTCATGGCCGTCTACTCTGACAAAGGGGATTACTACTGGTGGCTTCTGCCCCCTGTGGCAGTGATTTCCATGGCCTGGTAAGTGCTGCTGCTCCTGATGCCCTGTGGAGGCTGACCTAGAACAGAGACTAGACAGAGCTAAGGAATAAAGTAGAAGGCCTCTGTTTATTAGAAGGCCTCAATGGATGCACCTCAGGCAGCACAGGAGCCTGGCCAGGGCTACACCCAAGATGAACCAAAATGGGCACAAAATGGTTGACCGGTCACGGGGTCTCACACTTTTATAAGTTTTTGTCCATTTGCATATTGGATTTAATTGTCTGAGTCCCATCTTTCTTGTTTTTCTCTCTTCAGCCCACGTTGTTTATGCTCTTGGGCCTGAGATTTGGATCATTTGTCCTGGTCCTCAGCTAGAGAAGGCATTGTTTTGTCTCCCTACTCTGTGAAGAGAGCTTACTATCCCCTAATATGAACTCAGAACTACACACTAAAGCAGCACAGAATCTGAAAAATATAAAATCTAAAACCTGAGGCATCACTCCTCCTAGGGACAATTCCCACAGGATGGGTCTGGCTACAAGCAGCGCAGACACGTTGAGGGCCCCTCTGCCCTGCACCAGTGACTCCAGGCTTGATGGCACGGGAGGGTTGTGTTCGTCACCACACAGAGCTTGTGGGGGACATGGTAGGAGCTGAGGGCACAGAAACACTGATTATAGCACACAGGCAAAGCAGCCCTGTCCCAGTCCTCTGAAAATGGCCCTCAGCAGCAGGACACACACGGGCTGGAGGTCATTGCACCCAACACCACAACGCTTCTTCCTCACCAGGCCCTGAATCAACCCTCTGCTCATCCTGGGGCTCAATTCAATATCCTCCCTCTCAGATGTGCAAGCAGTCATGAGCAAAATTAATTCCTTCAAGTAGCTCCAAAGGACAGGCTATGTTCGTCCAGGATTAAATTTTGACATTTTTAAATATGGATCTGAACAGCACTGCAGAATCTGTTTAACAGCCTTAACTGAAATTAATTTAATAGTCACATTTTATCACTGTAAGCAGTAAGATGCAAACCATTATTAGATTTTTCACTGCTTTTAAGATCAGATTTGTTTTATATTTCATTTCTTTAGTCATTCTCAGCAAAGGTCATTTCATAACAATCTCTCAAAACCCAGGGCATGTTGCAAGAATGTTTAGTTTGTCTTATCTGCCAGAATTCCTTTAGGTCTTTTGTTCAAAATTTTCTTCATTGTTTAGTTCACAAGTCTTGAGGGTAGAGCTGAAATATTTTAAAATCAGACACTTCAGTGATTTTTTTAATCGATACTTTGACTTTCAGTTTTAGAAGTCAGCATTTAATTTAACTGTTTCCTTTTTTCCTGACAAGATGTGTAAGTGACAGAAGCTTTGTATTTCAGCACAGAAATTAGGACACCATTTTCAATGAAGTACTGATTTATTTTCTTTTCCCTACAGCTGCAAGCAAGGAAATCTGTAAACTCCTTTGGGAACCAAACTTGTCAAAAAAAGAATAGGCTTCATCTGAGATTACACAGGGAGAACAAAGCATTTTTCCCACAGATAGTATCTGTACAGCAGGACACAAGATGTTGCTATTGAAATGTCAAATAACTTGGATGGAGTTGTTTTTTATTATAACCAGCTTAATGACCTTCTAGGGCTCAAATCCAGTTCCTTGAAAAACTTGAAGTCTTTAAATTCATCTTTTATAAACTGTAATGTTCACTGCTACTTGGAGTAGACCATAAGAACTATTCAGCTCACCTGTAGCATAAGAGCTCAGCTGGAAGGAGAACACTGGCCTTTTGCACCAAGGACTGGCCATTTCTTCTTTTCTTTGAGCTTTCTGGGGCCCAAAAAATCAGATATTACCTTGCCAATAGGCTCCCATAGAGTCCTTCATGCAGGACACACACTTCAAGTGGAAATCAGGGAGTCTGGAAATGTCCTGAGGAAAGCAGATCAAATGAAGATTATATCCCAGGTCCTACAGACAAGAACTTTGGGAAAGGCCATGGTATTTCAAAGTTTACATGGTTTTTGTGTTCTGACTCTAGGTTAAGTCTCACCCCAAATACTTTACATGCTAAAAATCTTCAATCGAGCTACTTAAAAACAAGTCTCAGTTTTCAGTAAACTGTGTACGATTTCAGATGGTACCTGGGCAGCACAAAATTACATTAGTCAAGTTCTGAGTGAAGTCTGGTATCAACACCTTGCCCAGCTCTGCTACAGTGGTGATTTCATCTTATACTCTGTTGGGCCTCATAGTCCCCAAAAATAGTGTCCAACACAGTAAATATTTTTATCTTTCTTAATGGAAGATTTTCCACTGCCTTTGATCACTTCTTCTGCTTTATTTCTCTTCCAGACCCATCTCCTGATACCCTTCAAACCATTTAAAAAAGAACAAAACAAAACAAAAAGAGGCAAAAAAAAAAAGCAAACAGGGTAATTTCCAACCCCCTCCTGCCTCCTCAAAACAGCAGCTTTTTTAGACCAACTAAAGTTCTCCCCAGTTCTTCACGTGACATTCCCAAAATTTCCTTTTCTGCTTTTTGTTCAAATTTTAAATTGAATAGTAAGTCAGATTGCCTGTCTCTGTCCATGCTCAAATACTGTATTGGATGCATACATGGATGTGACATTATTTTTTTCAGAAAGACAAAGAGCTTTTGACAACTCTTTGTTTGATGCAGAGTAAGATATTAAGGTATTCACCATCAGGTATTGCTACAAGGAACTGTATTGGCCTTTATTTGCCAAAATTATCATTTTGAGACCAAAGAAGCAGGCTGTCTCACCACCATAAATTGTGATGAGCAAGTTATAATTCTATTTCTTCTCTTGTTCTCAGCCCTGTACTGTCCAGTGCTTTGGGATCCATCTTCAGGAAATGGGACCTTCCTGTTTTCACTCTGCCCTTCAACATTGTGGTGACCCTGTACCTGGCAGCCACAGGACACTACAACCCCTTCTTCCCCACAACCCTCATCAAACCCATAGCTGCAGTGCCCAATATCACCTGGTCTGACATCAATGTGCCACTGGTAAGCTTCACACCAACAGGTTTATGGTATTTCATAATGCATGAAGGCGTTCTCCCCAGGTGATGCTTTTACATGGGTCAGAATTCACAGAAGTACATGGGTTGGTTCAGTGCCACAGAATCCCCAGGGACAGTCCTGGTTCATCCAGCAGAAAGGCTGGCGGAGCCTCAGGGAGCAGGGAACCTGAGCCTCTCATTCCCCTCAAATGTAGGTTGTCCCAAAACTTGTCTTGACTGTATGTCCAGCACACATCTGGATATGACCTCCTCCTGTCCAGGTTAAAAAAACATCAGCAACACTGTCAGTGGCAATATGAAAATTCAGAGGAAACATCAGGATTTCAAAGTGACAGAAACTCATTTATACCCAGTCCCCTCTTGTCTAGCTCTAGCTCTGGAGGGTCACCTTCCCAAAAGAGAACAGGATAACTGATCCAGAGGGTTGTGGTCAATGGCTCAGGGTCCCAGGTGGTCCCTCAGGGGTCCATCTGGCCACCAGTGTTATTGAATATCCTCATTAATGACACAGACAGAGGGGTCCAGGGCACTCTCAGAGGATTTGCAGATGGCACCAAGCTGGGAGGTGCAGCTGACACACCTGGAGGATGGGATGGCATCCAGAGGGACCTGGACAGGCTGGAGAAGTGGCCCAGGGGAATCTCATGAGGTTTAACAAGGCCAAGTGCTGGAGCTACACCCGGGTCAGGATCAACCCAGGCTGGGGATGAGCAAAGGGAGCAGCCCCGGGAGAAGGAGCTGGGGGTGCTGTGGGTGAGAGCTGGAGCTGCCCCAGCCTGAACCCCCCTGCCCTGGGCTGATCCCCAGCGTGGGCAGCAGGGCAGGGGGATTCTGCCCCTGTGCCCTGGGCTCAGGTGAGAGCCCACCTGCAGAGCTGCCCCAGCCCTGGCTCCAGCAGCACAAGGACGTGGAGCTGCTGCAGCCAGTGCAGAGGAGGCAGCAAGGTGATCAGAAAGATGGAGTACATCTTTTATAAGAAAAGGCTTGGAGAGCTGGGTTTATTCAGCCTGGAAAAGATGGTTTTGGGGTCACCTAAGGCTTTCCAATACTGGGAGAGATTATGTAGGAAAGTGGGAGGGAGACTACTTACAGCTGGGGGGATTTTGAAGGCATTCCCCCCCAAGAAGAAATGGCTTCAATTTGAAAGAGAGTAAGTTTAGATTAGTTACTGGGGAAAAAACTCTTCCCTGTGAGAGTGGTGAGGCCCTGGCACAGGGTGCCCAGAGCAGCTGTGGCTGCCCCTGGATCCCTGGCAGTGTTCAAGGCCAGGCTGGACGGCTCTTGGAGCAACCTGGGATGGTGGAAAGCATTCCTGCCCAAAGCAGGGGGTGGAACAAGGGGATCTGTAAGGTTCCTTCCAATTCAAACCATTCTAGGATTCTATGAGGTGCTCAGACTCCAACACAGAGCCAGGGTTTCTTCAGTCCCTTTTCAGCCAATAGCTTGGACAAAACATCTGCTGTGTCCCTCAGGGCACAGACAGACAATAAATAACAACCCCTTTCCTGCCATCTGCTGCAGCTCTTACAATCCATCCCAGCTGGGATTGGTCAAGTGTATGGTTGTGGAAACCCCTGGACTGGAGGCATTTTCCTTGTGGCTCTGCTCATCTCCTCCCCACTGATTTGTTTGCATGCTGCAATTGGATCAGCCGTGGGGATGTTTGCAGGTAAGAAATACCGACCAAATCATTTTTGCAACCAAGGTATCTTCATCCAAGCCAGATTCTGTCCAGACTTTATAGTGGCATCGGCTTGGCTGTAGTTGGGACAGCACTCTCATCTTTCAAACTGTCTCCTAATTTGAAAGCTCTTAGTAAAGGTCGCACAACACAGTGCAGGCAAGAACAGAAGCAGGTTTTCTTTAAATTTCACAGTTTTTGTTAGATTTGTAACTCAGCCAGGTGCTTTGTTCCATCTTACTTAACTCTCTAGCAGCTGGATGTGATAAATCCCATGGAGATCATGAGGAAACCTAGAGAATGACTTTCAGTACTGATTTCTTGCCACCACATTTGCTTTAAATGATGACCACAGGCAAAGGTCTGCCTCAGAACTAATCAGACAAGGAAGAGAAACAGACTTTCCTGGGATGCAGTTTGCTCAGCCCTTCTGTGGATTTGCCAAAATACCAAAATGAATGCCACTAAAAATGTCCTGTCTCTCCACTAACCATAGAGAAACAATATTGAGAGACATGAAGCAGACCCTAGAGGTTAGGCAACATTAATGCCACTTAAGAGACCAATTTTAATAAATACAGATGACAGAATAAGTGTAGTCTAATTCCTTGGAAAAGGCAGCAATCCAAAAAGTTCTCTGTGCTCTGAAGCACTTAGTACATGATGTAGCTGTCTTATGTTCATAAATTTTAAACAAAACTGTCCACAATTTGTACGGCTAAGAGCATATGGCAGGTCTTGTAGAGGTGTGACATTCAATCTAGAAGGGAAAGGTCAGGCGAAAGTTTCTGGGGACAAGCATGGTGATAAAACAGAGGACAGATGAGGACAATATAGAAGGAAATGCATTAATATTTCTAATGTCAGGAAAGTGGTATGTGTACTACATATTGAGCTCTCCTTTTCACTGGTCCTGAAGCCTGTGAGAAATCCTTCAGAAGTTTCTCAGAGGTCAAATCTGGGGCAGACCCCCAGCTCCCATCCCCATGGAGAATTTCCACTGCACAGGTGGAATGACCACCTCTAGTAACTAGACCATATCTCGCTAGGAAAAAATGGCAAACTCTGCTTGCTCCCACAAAAGACGTGCAGTTGTGCCTCTGATAGCCAAAATTGGGGTGTATATGAGGTGTAAACAGTGTGTGTGAGCACAGCTTTCTGCTAGGAGGACGCCCAGGTGAGAAGGTTTCCCCACACTCTGGCTGGATCCTCCACCTGTGTGTGTGGATACAACACACCCAGTGAATACACAGGAAGTTTTGTCTGAACTAAACCTTTGAGACTGGGCCAAGTTCCACCACAGGGACATTATCAGACCTCCAAAATAATGAGCCTCCTTTGACATCCCCCTTTTTTCTGCATGTGCATGTGTGAGAACAGACAAACCCATCTTGATGTTATGAGGAAGAGATGACAGATTGCTCCTGTAGGTTCCCCTCATACCAGAGCTCACAGCCGTGCCTTTGTCCTGCAGCTCTGAGCATTGCATCCCCGTTTGACAGCATCTACCTTGGCTTACACAACTACAACTGTGCCCTGGCCTGCATTGCCATCGGGGGCATGTTCTACGCCCTGACCTGGCAGACACATTTGCTCTCACTTGCCTGTGGTGAGTATCTTTTGCATAAAGGGAAGGCAAAAATTTGTGCAGGTGAGCAGCTTATGAGGAGCTGTCTTGGTTTGAAAACACAAGGTGTCCTCTAAGGGAGGTAGGAGCCTCCCTTGAAATGGAAAATGCAAGCCCCCCTCCCTCCAAGTTATTATAATTTTGAAATTAAGGGGCTCTCAGGCAAAGATATGGGAGTAGGAAAAACAGATCTTTATTAGGAAAAATATAAAAATTAAAAGAAAATATAAAAATAAAATGCAGTAATACAAAACAACATTGACAAAGTCAGAACAGGCCCTGACCCCCTGTGGGTCAAGGTGGTGGCACAGTCCCATTCCATGGTGGCTCAGCCCTCCTGCAGTGCCAGCTGTGGTTCTGCTGGAGCAGGGATCCTGCACAAGGGGGGATCTGAAGCTCCAGGGCTGCTGGAGATGGGCCTGCTCTTCCTCTGGGAATGCAGGGGAGAAGAAAGCTGCTCCTCTGGGAATGCAGTGGGCAAAGGCTGGTGCGGCGTTCCAGATCTCCAATTATATCCAGGTAGGAATGCTTGGCTCCTCCCCTGGGCGGAGCATCTCCCAGTGGGATGATGGAATTTTATCAGCCATGCAGGGATGCTCACTGGCCCATTAACAGAATGGAGGGAGGATTGGTTGTGGAAGAGATTAAAAAAAAACCTGCCCCACCTGGTTTTAACAGGTGGCCCAATTAACAGAAGATAATTGCCCCACTTCTAACACCCCTTGCCAAATCTTGCATTTCCAACCTAAGACAGGAGCACAGGCTTAGAGCCAATCATCATTCTGTCTGTCCCAAAAACAGGTACTGTGCAAGATCTGTTTCTCTGGTAGCATCAGAATTGGGCTTGATTGTGCAAGTACAGAGAGAATACTTTTAGACCCTGATAATATGGAAGCATCTAGAAAGGGCGGAATTACTGTTTGTGGAATGAGCACAAGTTAATCCATGAGCATGTTTAACCAATTAGCAACTCAACAGATCATAGAAGCAATCTTTTCATGATTATATGTATCACTGGGGGAAATGTATCATAAGAAGGGATCTGTTGCACCAGGTCAGTTTAAAACCCATCCACCCAAAGACCCCACATCCAACAGCAGCCAAAACCAGGCACTATGGGAACAGTTTGAGAAAATTCCCAGTTAAGACATTCCTGTGAAGATATGCCCAGGCTCCAGTTATCTCAGTGTCCTGAGCACAGTTTCTGGATTTCTCAGTAGCTTTTCCTTCTCTGACTTAACCCTTGGGTGGCTCACCTTGACTCCTGTTCTGCCATCCCTGGCAAACTGGGGCAAAGAGACCCCTTGGTAACTGGTTATGGTATGAAGCCACAGGGCAGAGAATTTCTGAAGTCCAGACCTGCTGGAGAATTTCTGCAATTCCCACTGCATTTGGGTCAGGTAGTGCCAAATAAAAAAATTAAAGATAAAAAAATGCCACTGTCTCTTCATCTTGATCAAACCATGTTCTTCATTCACCATCCATCTCTACAGAGAAGATAGGACCAAATATAGGCACAGAACCATTTGTGCTGGAAAACAGCTCCAAGATCATCAAGTCCAACCATGCCCCCAGCACAGCCAAGGCCACCAAAGGCCACCACTCACCCACGTCCCCAAGTTCCACATCCACACAGCTGCTGATCCATCCAGGGAAGGGAACTCCACCACTGCCCTGGGCAGCTGTGCCAGGGCTGGACAGCTCTTTCTGTGAAGAAATTTTTCCCTAATGTTCAACCTAGATCTCCCCTGGTGCAACTTGAGGCCATTTTCTCTTGGGACATTTCAACTAATTGTTGAACTCCAGCAGCATTAGATAGCTGGGAGGATATTTTGCTGTGCATTTGGACCATGTTGCTTGCTTTTTTTTTTTTTTTTTTTTTTTTTTTTTTTTTTTTTTTTTTGAGAAGTGAACAATGTTTTTCTCATCCTGAGCTCTCTTTGGTCTTCTCAGCATTATTTTGTGCCTACTCTGGAGCAGCTCTTGCTAATGCACTTGCTGTGGTAAGTGTGGGGTTTTGTGTTTTACCTGAGGGTTTGTTGTTTTGTTTTGAGTTTTTTTTAACTGCATCTTGATTTGTTCAGATATAATGTTAAGGAAATGCCTCAAAATTCTCCATGTCAGCTTTGACAACACTGAAATGAGAATGTTGCAGCCAGTTGGCAGGTCTTGTACAAACCCCATGTCAGCTGAATTGTGCCCCTGAAGACTTTATACCTGATAATAAGATTTCAAAGACCTTTGGAGCATGTTATCCACAACAGGGTTGTGCACGTATATGTGAGTTACAGCAACAGCATATGGTTTGAGATTAAATACTTAGCTGAACATTATCTTTCAGCAATTCCAAATGACCTAAATTTTCATTTTCTTCATTCAAGGTCTTTCTCCAACACTGCCCACAAATATTATTGATGTTTGAACTGGGTATGAGAAACTAAAATGAGGGGGATACTGTTCTCTTAAGTACAAAGTTATTATATTTGGACAAATCAAGAAGGGAGTGAAAACAGAAATGACAGGCTGTTTTTTCTTTAAGATCTGAGAGATTAAAGCAAAACCATATTTTAATTAAATTGATTTACTAACTTTGAAAAAAATATTAGAACTAGCAGTTTCACACACTGAACATTTTCATCTGGCATCATCTCAGCACTATGCAGGTCTCTGCATATGGGCTGCTTTAAGCACACCTGCTTTTGGGAGGCATCAGGAAAAAGGACATCCACTTTTTATCCCTGTGATCTTGCTTTTGGAAGACCTCAGTTCAGGGGAACAGAGAAGGCTGAGGGTTGGATGTGATGCCAGCGTCATATTGTCATTGTGCAGAGGGAATATGCCTGAATAATACTCTCCACACATATTTTACAGTACAGAGAGGGTAGAATTTGGCTCTTCTGTTAGAGAACTCAGGTGTCCACGTGTGAGCTGGGTGTCTTGGCTTTCATTGAAGTGATCAGAGCTCTGGAGCCTGACTCAGTTGCTTCAATGCTGGTGCCAGGTTCCATCCAGCATTGAAGCTGTGCCTCTGACAGGACTGAGGTCTGCAGGGTCAGATGCTTTGTGCAGCCCCATGCCCTCCAGCTGAAAAACAGACCTCTGTGTGGCCAGCTGAATCGGCATTTGGGAGCCACTGTGTCTTCAGGGAAAGCAAGGCCCTCCCAGCTTCCCAAATGCAAGAGTTTAGCCACAGGCAGGCATAAGCACAGAGACAAAAAAGTGGTACCAAAGTGGTGCCCTGTGTGTGTTCTGTCCCCTGCCAGCTCGGGCTGCCGGTGTGCACCTGGCCCTTCTGCCTCTCGGCGCTCCTCTTCCTGCTGATCACCTCTGAAAACCCGGCCATCTACAAAATACCCCTCTGCAAAGTCACCCACCCAGAAGCCAACCGGATCTACTACCTGAGAATGAGGAGAAGGGCCTCGGAGAGCAGGAGGGAAGAGCAGAAGCGAAAGGAGCAGAAACCCTCTGATGGCTCAAAAATTAACAGTGGGGGCACCCCACTGTGGACCCCCAAGAGCCGCCACGCTCACTGATTGCAGGCACACACAACTGGGGCCAGCTTGGGGCAGATTTTCGGACATCACCCAGGCACAGCACAGCCACAAACACCACTTTTGCCAGCAGTCTGCAGGCTGGGGATTCAGCATTCCACACTGGAGAAATCACGGTTTGCCCTTGAGCTACGCTTTCCAAAAAGCACTCAGGTAACATAATAACAGCTGCCTTATCAATCCACTGGCTGTTAACTTGAAAGTCACCTCTTATCAATAATAATTATAAGAATAGGCAGAAGAACATTAAAGCTGACAAGAGGCTGCATTTAATTTCAGAGGTGTAATTTAACAAAATAAATATGCTGAGAAGGCATTGGTGTCTAATAATAATAAATAATGTAAGAACTAAGTCAAGAGCTGCACTTCAAATTAAGAGCATGTATATTTGAAAGTGAAATAAACAGACTGTTATCTTCCTATCTTGTGTGCCATCAATGTCTAACCCATTTAATACCTCTTAACAGCTACAACACACACAGGTAAATATTCTTACAGAGCACATCCTGTAGCACTTTTGGTGCCATCTCCTGACTCCTCATTAAGTGCCAAGGCAATGAATAGATATGCTTTAATCAGACTAGAAGAGCGACTAGCTAGCAGTGATCAAACATTCTTCTTTTCCTTAAATAATTTTCTGTCTTGCAAATCGAAGATCTCTCTCCTGCTGATTGCAGGATAGCAAGTCTGAATCCCTACACACATCCACTGGGAAATAAAAAAACTTCATGTAAAGAATGGGATAAACATTTACTGCTGGTGACAGTTCTTTCTCTCCCTTTCACAGAGGAGCAGATCCTTTCCATTAGACCATGAGAAATTAACAAGTCAAAGGTTACCACTGCCACTTTATGCCTCTTCAAAATCCTTACAGCAGGGAAGCTCCAACTGCCCTAAGGAGGATTTTCTCAGGAACCTTTGCCAAAACCTCTGTGAAGAAAGCCTGACAGAAAGGCTTCCTCACTCTAAAGTTGTTTTACAAGGTCAGTTTAAAATCTTCATATCCCTTGATAAAATCAAGGGATATGAAGATTTAAAACCCAAAGGGACTATGCAACCACAAACACTCAGATCAGAAGCTGTCCTCTCTGCCTCACGATGTAGGGCTGTTTTGCAGATCCATATGAGTATTTTTGAACAGGTGGGATCCCAGCTACAAAAACCACTTTTTAAAAAGGTGAGCCTGAGTGGTGCTCATGGGATTATTTGTGCCTTAATCACCTAAAATCCAACAGCACCAGCATCTGCCACCCCTCTAAATGTCCCCTAGAAACAGCACCCAAGAATGAATTCATCCTGGGAGACAAAAACATGGTGTTGTTTATGTTCAGATGTTTTGGTTTTTTTTAAACAGGGGAGGCCATTCCAGGAATTCTGGTAAAATTTAGGTCCTACTTCCTCCCCTCTTTTCCAATATGCCTTTTGGCCATTATATCAGCAATCTAATGCAAGCACCAAAACCTTCTCCCATGGTCACTGCAAACTGCAAGATCGGGGACATCCCCCTGTTGCTGCCACTGCAGAGAGACAAAGAGAGGCAGAATAACACAAGAGGTGACACACAACTGTCTGAAGACCTCCTCTCGACAGCAGTCAATAAAATATGAAGCACACAGAAACTAGGAGAGCTTATTCATGAACAGTTTAATTTAGCTCATGCACAGCATTAGAGAAATATTTGAATAATAGGAATGCAAGGTTACTGGAAAAATTACCGCAAAATAATGCTTTTCTTCATCATATATGTGAAGAAAAACCACAACTGCAGTTAGTTATGCCAAACATATTGTTTGTTTTCCTAAAAATAACAGTGAAGCCCAGGCACAATATGGCTATTGGAAAGGATTCGTCATGTAAGTGCCACTGCAGGCATTAATTCCTCAGCCACAAGAAAATCCATCCTGAAATCAATTAGTAAAGCAATTTCCAGAGTTGAAGCCTTCCATAAAAAATAGAGTATAAACAGCTTTTTTAAGTCTCTAGCTAATCAAAAGATTTGAGTAACTATAGCCAGTACTAATAATTCTTGAAAACAGGCAAGACAAATCAAGTGTCTCCTGCAAGGGAACAGTAGACAATAAAAGCACTAACTGAAGCTATCAGTGGTAGCCCAGCAGTCTGATACCTAGAGAGTTCTATAAAAAATTTCATTAAGAGAGAAAAAATGTACAGTTTTCAGTGGGACTAATAATTTTGCGACAGCTCCCAGAGGTCTAACATAAAACAAATATGACTATTAAAGGAAGAAAAAAAAAAGTCTCTTCTGCAGTTAGAGCCATCACTCCACCCAGCTCACCTCCACCTTAAAACAGTATTAAATAAATGTTCCTGTACAAACGAACACCTGGCCCAGCCATAGCACATGAAAAAAACAATCTCCTAAAAATTTGCCTTAAAAAATTAAAAAGAACAGACTTATCAAAGTGAAGGAATTGAATTGCAAGAGAGCTTCCCAGTGAATTAAGACAATTCTGTTGTAAGTGGAGCTCAATGTAAAAAAAATAGTATATACACTATGCAGTTCCAAGAAAAATGTTTACTTTATTGCTTCAAATACTATTTTTCTTACTCTTGCACTTACTTCATACCCCCTAAAAGGGAAAAAAAAAGGCCACTTTGCTCTTTGAGGGGAAGTTCTCAACTCTTCTCCTGTAGACATTGCTGCTTCTGTTGATAAGATCAGTCACAGAACTCTACAGAAAAAGCTGGGGCAAGCCCTTGAGATGTCTTGGCTTGGGTATTGTGGCTCTAGGATGACTGATCTGGTAATGACTCCTCATTAATGATTAGAAAGGTGCACGGAGGGAATGTGGAGGGAAGGGATTTGCTTTCCCAGTGGACATTTGCAGCAGAGATCAGAGCCACGCTGCCACCCACACTGGAGCATCCTCGTTGCTGGAGCACAAACTTTCCCTCCTGATTCACAGAAGCACAGAATCCCTCAGACTGGAGAAGCCCTCTAAGATCCTCAACTCCAACCATTCCCCCAGCACTGCTAAACTTGCCACTAGCTCATGTCCCCAAGTGCCACATCCACACAGCATTTAAATCCTTACAGGAATGGGTGGGATTCACTACCCATCAGTGCCTTGGGCAGCTGTGCCAGTGTTTGACAGCCCTTTCCAAAATGAACTTTTTCGTGATCTCCACTCTAAAACTGGTTTCCATCATCGGATCTTCTTTGAGACCTAATCAACTCCTTACGGGCATCAAGAGCTGATGGGAAGAGCAGCACAGAGGGAGAACACAACAGGAGGTGCTGACATCAGGGAGGTGCAGTCCTGGAAAACCCAGTGCTGTCCTTCCAAACCGTGATGGGGAGAAGTGGCTGCAGCACTGCATGGTGCTCACAGGCCAGCAAAGCACAGTGGGTTAAAGTCTCATGGACAGATTTTGCTGTTGCACTCTACTCTCAAGCAACCAGAGCTGCTTTGCTGCAGAGCCTGGGCCCTACTCCTTGTTCCATTCAACATTGCTGTGAGCTTAAAATAAATATTGTCCTTTTTTTCAGCCCTTCTGCAATGTGAAACCCCTTCTTCCCATACCTGCAAGCAATCAGTGCAGACCTGCACTGATTCAGGAGCCTGAAATCATCAGATGCAGGGAGAGTATGCATCTCTCCGCAGCACCTAGGCTGCTGGCACAGGGAGCCAGCCAGCATCCCAGCAGGCACCAGAAAATACCAGGCTCTGTGTTCCAGAGGGGCAGTCGAGCAACACGGGGCCTTCCTACAAGCTGAAAAACCCAAAACTTCAAAACTTGTCAGAATAAGACAATTCCTAAAAATATCCAGCTGCTGAGAAGCTGCTCTGTGCTGTCCATGCCAGACATCTCCAGTCTGCAAAGACAGAGAAACTACAGAATGGTTTAGGTTTTCTGTAGGTCACATTTGCCAGGGTTGCAGAAATATCACTACTCTGAGGGGGAGTTTGCTGAACGCTTTCCCTCGCTCTCTCTTCCTCTGCATCAGTTTTAATTTGGGAGATGGAAGTAGTTCAAACAGGAAACAAGCCCTTGATTGCAGTTGATTTTACAGTTCTCGGGGGGCTTGTACAAGCTCCTACAGCTGTTGCCACAGCTGGAATTCACACATCCCAGTGGTGGGATAAGACATGGGATGGCTCTGTGACAAACAAAAGTTTCTCCCACCACGTTTTGCTTGACAATGAGTTTGGATTTCTCTGACTTCTCATTCAGCAGCTCCTGAGTGCACTGAGTCACCTCTGTGCATTCTAGAGCTTAAAGTCTCACGGAGCTGCATCCTCACATCCACCTTCAGGGGCAGCTTTTTGCATGGGCAGCTGAGGCAGACACAAATCCCTGCTCCCAAAATGTGCATCTTCACACAGCACAGCAGGGTTGAAGCACCAAGTGTGTGCAGAAGCCCTTCCAAAAACATCCAGCTGTGTCACCATCCAAAATGCACAGTTGTTGGGGCTGTTTAGCACATCCCAGCCCCTGAAAATTAAGCTGTGCACTGAATTGCAAAAGGCAAAAGCAGAGAGACAGAGGCATCCTTGACCTGTGCAGCTTAGGATGGTCTGGAGTATTTTTCCCCTGGTATACCCTGTCCTGTACCTGACGCTGGTTTTGCACACTTCCCTCATCTCAACCAAGTGCTGACTGGTCTTTTGCTCTGTCTTCCAAAAATCTCTGCTCTGCAGAGCCACTCAACCAGAAATCAGGTACAGACTTCCTGTCTTTGGAGAAAACAAAAAAGTCACAGGTGATGACAAACTGTCAGCCGGCAATGGTTTCTTGCTGTTGCCAAGAGAGCTTAATTCATTGTGCAAATTAAATCACATTTAAGACATTTTTTCTTCATAGAAACTGAGTTATCCAATAGATATTACTTTTTTTTTTCTTTTGCCTACCTCAAAATGTGCAATTTTTTTTGAAAATGGATTTATACCTGTTTGTGCTTGTGCATGAAAATGTCACTCTGTAGCACTGCTTGCAAAACTCCATAACCACCCGCAGCC